GGGGCGGGGGGGGGCGGGGATCTCTGCTCATCTCTCCCCAACCGCACTCCCCTGCTTTGGGAGAGGCCCAGGACCTGACTCCTCCCTCTCTCCTCCTCCCCAGGCATGTACTCCTGTCCCTGCTATTATTATCCCAACCGAGCTGGCAGCTCAGACCGATCTTCCTTTGTCATTGGCGTTGATCTTAGGTCTGGGGCCATGACCTCTGATCACTGGATCAAGAGAGGCACCGCCTTACTCATGAGCCTGGACAGCTGACCAGGCCTCTTCTTCTTTGATGAAGACTTTAGGAGCGAAGGCTGATAATGCAGCTGGGCCTGAGGCCGACCCTACATTGGCCTTAACCATGGGTGAAGTTGGAGGAATGGGGCTCTGGATAGACTGTGTGTTAGCAAAAAAGGTGGAAACATACTGGAGCTCAGTGCAGTAAAACAGACGTTACCACAAGCCTTAAGTCTCTTGGTGTAACGGTTGTGGTTTGGAAGGGAAGTCAATGCAGTCCTAAATTGACAGGGGGTACTGTGGGCTGCTGCAGGTCTAGGAATTTAGGGGGAAGTGGGTGGTCTGGCGTGGAAAGGAGGCATGGCCTTAAATGGGCAGGGAGATGGGGGTCCTAAAGGGGCGGGACAAGGGCAGATAGATTGGGGCATACTTCAGAAGGCCGCGTGATACCAGTGGAATCAGTGGGTTGTCAGAACTCAAAGAGGTGGGCTGCACACTCCGCACCCTGAATCTGGTAACCGGCACCCTATCCTGCACTGAGGGCAGAGGCGGAGCTGAGCCGAAGAGAGGAACTGCAGAGCGAAGAGGGGCGGGACCGTGAGAAGGGGGCGGGTCTGAGGACGCATTGGGGCGGGTGTTTTTGTAGGAAAATCCAACTGCGCCACGGGGCGGAGCGGCCCCCCCAGCCCCGGCCTGGTGGGGGGGCCGCTCGACCCCTGGGGGACCTTGGGGAGCCTGAACACCTGAGACCCCCAAAACAGGTAACGGGGAGTTGCGAGGGCGTCTGAGAAAAGGGACATCATCTCTGCTCAGGGGGCAGGACCCCAGAGTCAAAACTGGAGGGCTAGACCGAGGGACGGACATTCGGGTCCTGGGAAAACCGCTAGAAAGAAGACTAGGGCTCAGGACATCCAGATGCCCCAGAGGAAAAAGCAAACCACCACCCAGGAGGGGTGAGGAGAAGAGGGAGGGGGCAGACGTATAGGGTCCCAGATGTCAGCAGGGGCTTAAAAGGACACCCAGCCCACCTTGAGCCGGGATTCCCTGTACCAGTCTTAGGATAGGGCAAGGCGATCCCTCCCCAAGGACAGAGCTAAAGGTCAGATTTTACAGATGGGACAGTGCAGGCCCATTGGGGTCAAGTGTTGTCAAACTGGGGTATGTCTCCGACCCAGGGTCACTTCAGGTCTCCCTGCACGAATGAGGTCGGGCGATGTATACACCTCAGCCCTGATCCTCACAGCAGAAACCCCAGTAGCTTCCTAGCAGTATACTCCATCCCTCCCACCCTCGCTGTCCACCTCACCTCACTTCACGCCACCTCTCCTGGCCCCCACTCTGGTGGTGGTGGTGGTGGCTCCCATTCTGCAGTCTCTCCTTGTCTGACTCTACCCACACTGCGGCCCTTTTCTGGGATCAGATTTCCCAACATTGCCACGAGGTGGCGAGGGCGAGATGCACACTTAACCTAAATGGGGTGGAGCGAGGTGGCCTTGAAGGCAACCAGAGCCCCCCATCCTGGTCTGAGAAAGGTGACACAGGCCCTCGTTTGACTTTCCGTCGTCCCGGTTCCAATATAGGAAACTGGAAGGGAGGGCGAAGGACATTGATAGGGAAGCGGCTAGGAGCCCAATCTGGGCCTTTCCAGGCGAGGGTAAAAGTGAAGAGGGGACACGCGGGGTTCGCTACTAAGCAATGCCGATCTGCTTCCTGTCTCTGCGGCGAGTGGCTGAGACTTGGGGTGGGGGGTTGAAGACGGTGGGAGCTGGGAGAAAGAAGATAAGGTTGAGGTTGGGCGCCAGGGTCCTGGGCATCAGGATGAACCTGGAAAGGCAGGCCTGGAGGCGCCGTGACAGTAATGGATTCAGCTGCAGTTCGGAGGGTGGAGGGGACGCAGCGTCCAGGTCTCCTTCCTCCCCTCTCCGCGGCTGCTTGCCCTGTTGCCAGAGTAACAGGAGAACTCGAGTCCAGAGCCGGATTCCCGAACTCTCGCGTCTGCCCAATCCTGTCGAGTGGACGTTCCTTACATCAGGGCTCTGGCGACCAATGGGCAGGAGGTATTATAGGGCGACAGGAAGAGGGAACGGAGAGGGAAGGAGGGGTAGCTGCGGGGACCCGCACGTGCACTCCCACACGCTCGCGCCCACCTCCCCTCCGCCGCTCGCGCTGAGCACCCCCCTGCGCCTGCGCAGCGATTCCTGTTCTCCACCCTCCCCTCGAGCCTCAGATCTGTGTTTGCAAACTGGTGCAGCGCTGAGCTCCCCAGCCCCTCGGGACACAGACGTCTGGGTCGGTCTCTAACCGTCAGAGCCCAGCCTGGTGTGGGAGGGGCTGCCTACCTGTTCCCCTCCTCCTCCCCAGCTGGCGCCCCAAGCTCCCAGGTGGGCTGGGCGGAGTTGTGGTTTCCGGCCCCACATCCACGGCCAATGCGTCCCCGGCTTCTGGCTCGGGTGCCACCCCGAGGTGAATGGAGCGGTTACCCACGCCCCTTTCCAGGCTTCACCCGCCTCGCTGTAGTAGGTGGGGGTCAGGGGTGCTGCGGGGAAGCTCCAAACTGCCTAAGTGACTCTTCCTAGGTCCTCGTGTTCGTTCTTCGAGGGAATTTCTCCTCTGATATGCACCTAAACCAGCCCCATCCCTAACATTTCTCCCCATGCGCCCGTGTGTTTTGTGCCTTTATTGGCTCCTTTCGAGTTCTGTGTCCCCGTCTCCACTCGTCCTTCTCTGCCTCTCCCGGTTATATAACTCTTCCTCTCGCCGTGTCCTGATTTCAACTCCACAGACTCCGCCCTGGAACAGCGAGGGGAGGGGCGGAAGAGTTGGGGACCCAGACAGATCCGGGCAAGCGGTCGACGGGGGAACTGGGGAACCCGCAGATAGGAGACGTGGCCCCACGGGACCCTGTGTCCTTGTCCCGTCCACGTGTGATCTCGCCTAGGGAAAAGAAGGCACACTGGGAGAGGCGTGTCGGGACGCCAGTTAGAAATGTGGGTAGGAGGTTCAGGACTAGAAACTGAGAGCAGGAGGCGAGGTGACCCAGTCACGGTGTAGGGAGCTGCCTGGGGGTGGAGATAAAGACAGCACGCCAGGGTGTGCGTGCCTCCGGTTCTCTCTGGGTATCCCAGAATCCCTGAGGCTATTTCCCAAGCTTGCAGCCCTCCTAGCCCTGCTGAGGTCAGAGGTCTGTATTAGAGGTGGCCTGGGATGATGTCACCACCGCACGTGCCCCGGGCAGGTTGCCAAGCAATGACGCTTCCTCCCCCTAGTAAGCGCCCTTCCCCCTAGCCCAGTTGTAGTCCCAGGCCATCCCTTTCCCCCTCAGGCCCTTGGCCTTATCATCGTGCAGGTGGGAAACTCCGGCCTGGAATTTCGCGATGGGGAGGGCACCCTAGTGTGGTGTAGGTGAAAGATTACTCCCTTTGCTGGGCTAAGAGAATCCTGGGTCCCTTTCCACAAGAATGGCACAAAAGAACTTGCCCTCCAAGCATCCTCCCCCTTTAAAGAACCTCCCAGAAATCTCCTTACTTTCCCACCTGCCGCTTGGCCAAGTATCCTATTCCTCCCTTTTCCCATTTCGAGTTGAAGCGGGAGTGGTTGCAAGACAGCTGCCCAGAGGAAGAGTGTACTGTATGAATTCACTGGACATCACCTCTTCTCTGACCTTCCCTTCATCCATGGCAACAACCCCCTTTTTCCCGTGAAGACGGAAAAGTTAGGGTCTTTATTCTGTGTAAGTGGGTAGAGCAGTTGCACGCTTGGTTGAGGGGCGGGAGGAGGGTAGGAGGAACGACTCCGTTATGAGTGCGTTTCCCTGTTCAGTACTGGAGTTGGTGATATTGGGCGGGGGGGGGGGATTGGTTTCTGCTTTTACATGCCTTGGAGCATGGGTTGTCAGATGGGACCAGGATTCCACTCCCAGTTCTGCCACTTAGTGGCCACGGGGTCACAACCTCTTATTCTTAATCTGGAACATTTACATATCAATACCTACCTTCTAGGCCATTGGGAGGAAAAATTGAGATACTTTATGCAAAGCATTTAGCACTGTCCTGGCACAGAATAAATGCTTGTCTTTATGAAATACTTATTAAATGGTTTTCCTTATTTTTATTATTATAGTTGGCGGCCCTGCTCCAAACTGGCCAGGACCTTTGGAGTCATTAGGGCGGTGCAGAGAGTTTGTATTAATTTGGTAGTGATGGTGATGGGGGTTGGCTAGGGATTAGTTTGGATTGCTTTGTACGCTTTATTTAATGAGGACTTTAGTGAGATTTTCATTGCTTTATTTAGGATTTCCCCCCCTTTCCTTTTTGAAGACGAAACAACAAAGTCTATTCCTTTAGCTGTAAAAATGAAATAATTGTATTGTGCATCTTGATTTTGAAGGAAGACTCCAGTTCCCTCTCACGTTCTTCTCCGGAGCCTTTTAATTTTGCAAAGGGACTCCACAGTTTCCCCTTACGGGGACAAGACTGGGCCGAGGGGTGTGTAAAAGGTGGGGGGTGGGGGTGG